TATTGGTGAAAATCCAGTTTTTCGCCTGTTACCGTCCAAGATCAAAAACAATATATTTCACTCATTTCTCGTTCAAATAGACTCAAATGTTCGGCAAATGATTAGCAGAGATCAAAGAATGATGAACTGGTAGAAAAAGTCAGATCTGAGCTTTGATTGTGTGGAACGTTCTCCAGAGATCCGCTGAAAAACCGTATACATAAATGGAAAACTTTTTTTAATTTTTTTTACCAGTTCTGCATTCTATGATCTCTTCATTTGCCCAACATTTGAGTCTATTTGAACGAGAAATGAGTGAAATATATTGTTTTTGATCTTGGACGGTAACAGGCGAAAAACTGGATTTTCACCAATATGGCTTTGAGATTGGTTGTGATTGAGTGAGGAATAAAACAAACACCGCCATGATGATCAGCATGGTATATTACCTATGCTCCACGTGTTTTTAGATTTCCAGACATGTCCGGAACGAGACAGATGTGTCCTCGGAAAATGTCTGTATTTCCCGAACCGAAGTGGACGAAGGTCTGAGCCTTGCGTGGTTTTGACGAGTGATGTTCTGGCTATCGACTGATATTATTTGAGATTGGATTTCATAGTGTGATTTGGGAACGGTAAGCTTTCGGATGTTGTCTCGAACGGTACGCCATGGTAAACCTTATCGTGAGCCCTAGCGTTTTTACAGAGCGACGTGCTCCGGTGTCTAGTTTCTAAAACTGAAAATCGCAGGTCGTTATCGCCTTTCGTTCTCAAATTATTCAAAAAATATAGGACTGCCTTCTATTTTGAAACAGATAGTAGTAGTCACAGTTCTGTTTAAAGTTACTCCTTGAACTCTTGATTTTTAACGCTGAATGATAGATCCCAAGGTTTGCACTTTTATTAATGCATTAATATAGTTTACAAAAAATGTGATTACTATCATATTGTATACAGATGACTGAAAAATAGACACCAAAACGCTTATTTGGTACATGTATGTACAAAACTGAAGGAAGAAGTGTAGATTCAGTATTTGACTAAACATTAGTGCACCTGTTATTGTTGACGTTGTTATTTGTTTAATTAACACTTTTTTTTCCCAATCGAAAATGCATGGCGGCACGTCTACCAAATCGATATGGCATAGTTGATCGTTTTCCAAATCGATACGGTATTGCCCATAAACGATTTGAATTATCGCTACCATGGGAAACATCACCACGAACTCTTTTACCAAATATCATTGATCGTTTCGGGGATTTTTGATGATGATGGGATGACAGTTCTGATGGATTTAATTGGTGTTGTCCATCCGTTATTAGAAGTTCAACGGCAGACTCATTATCATCATCATCATTCTCAATTTCTTTTTCGTTGAATGAGGATTGGTTGATCGAATCTAGTATCTGATGATGTTTTAATGTATTATCAAGATCGGTTACTACACTTTCTTGATTTGATGGTAAAGGCTAAAATAACAAAAACTGTAGAAAATGCTAATAATAGGAATAAGTTAACATATACGCATTTTATGTGCCTCACGTCATTCTAGTGATGTTGCCAATTTTTATAATAACGAATATTGACTGGAAAACTCTTTGACTGTCAGTCAAGCATTAAAAATTATCTATATAAGCTTATTTTCAGCCAATAGTAACCAGAACATCCGTGGTTCTCTAGAAGCCAGTATCTCAAGATGACCCCATCAAGCTGCCTTCATTTTATCAGACGAGGACATGTTTGAGGCATTCATTTATAAATAGGTGAATTATTGGATTTTATCCCGAAGAAAGGGCTTTCTTCCCTCACATATTAGGGTTGATGATACATATAGTAATGGATATAATAGTGTGGATATTTAGGCAAAAATAAAAGTGAGTGTTTTTTATGTTGTATCACGATACTTTACTCTTCACTTTCTAAAATTATAAATCGCCGTGAAAGATTCATGTTTAGCCAGAAAGTTTTAAAACAGTATAAATGATAAAAATTCGTTAATGCTAACGCGTAACATAATAAATATGGTAATCCGAAGCGACTGCAGCTTTTCAAAGGCTCATATTTTTTACTAAAGCACTCTTAGATAGTTTATTGTCGACCAAAATGCTCAGGTTTTTCCTAGAATATAAAAAAGCTTCTTCCTAGAATACGAAAAAAAACCCTTTTCTTAGGAATACTTTCATATTTAAAATGGTAAAAATAAAAGCTATGAGAACGACGTAACGGTGGTGAAATTTTTATTTTCTATTTTATGAAGAATTTTATGCGAAAAATCTAAAAGAAAGTCTTTCAAAAAAATCCTCAATTTTATCAAAAATCGTTGCTATAGAAGAAAGTCAGATTCTTAGAATAGAACACGATGAGTTATCTAATCACACGTTCATTTCAAGATGGACTTTTTATAAGAATAAAACTTCTAATGGGATCTTGAAGTAAAAATATCAATCTCCATTTGTTTATTAGATAATATGGTAACATCGAATCTGCATATCCCATTCAACTCACCTCATCGTATGAATGTGTCTCTAATCGTGTTGTTGATGCTGTCAAATGAAACACTTGTAAAGTAAAAATAATTAAAATTGATATTTGAACGAGATAAATCGACGACATTTTTTGTTTATTTAATACTAAAATGACATTCATGTAAGTGACAAACAGTAGTATTTAGATATTTTTAATAAGAAACTATAAAGATCGAATGAGATGAATTTTAAAAAATGATCGAAATTATATGTTTTTAAATTTTTGCAATTTCTAATATCTGATATCAAAAATAATATATATCAAGTCACTTACTATATAAGTTTTTTTAGAAAACACTTAGTGGTAACTCTACCTAACAAATTTCCTTTTAATGTGTTAATCATTTTTTAATGCATGTAATAGCATGAAATAGTAATAAGTTCACGCGCATTAATTGACTTTAAAAAGATTTACAAGAAAAATATACATGCGTTCAATTTTGTATACCAAAAGTAAACGAAAAAGTTCGCATCCATTAAAAATCACTAAAGGGGATAACACAATAAAAGACGCGGGTCTTTTGTTCTGTCCTTAAGAATAAAGATTTTACGGAGGGGGGGGGGGGGCGACCTGCGTTTGGGCCCAAAAACGCAGCCGCAAAACCGTTTTTAGGAATTTTTGAAAGTTTAATATGT